GGCCAATAATAATGTTTTATTTGTCACTCGAGCCGATTTTCCGGCAAATTAAAATGTTCATTWATYCCCCGGAAAAATCCACGGTTTATTGCCTCGTTAGTTGGGCATCTACAGGGTGGCTGAGGACGYTCCACCCAATATTTCGCTTACTGACAAGTGAATTACATCATCCGGATTGTTGGATTATTATCGGCATCCAATAATTTATCTCAGCATGGAGTTTTTGCGGCCTTTCCAATCGCACTGCCAACAAAGAGCAATTAATGATTCAGGTAATTGTCAATGCGTTCGCCGCACGCCCAAATAAATCGGACTTTTCCATAATTGAATTCCACTTTTTCGGCTTCAATTATGTATTTTCTAATAAGTTATTACTCAAATTGTTTGGTTCAATATTTGATGCGTGTAATTAGCGCGTTTCGGATTTATTTATAAGGGCCATCGCAACTATTTCAGCAGATTACTTTCCCAGCGATTTTATTGTACAATTGATGTGTTTGGTCGCGTAAAGCCCCGATAAATATGCGACTTTTGGCCGATTCGTGCAATAAAATGCAAATTCATGCTTGTACAATGCAATATCTATTAGATGATTTTCAAAAAAAAGTGGGGATTTTGGGGGATTTTAACTGGAAAAAGTCGTGGAAAACGGTTAGTTTATCCTGATCTTCAGGGCCAAGTTTCAGTAATAAGGTTGTTTGGATGGTGAAATGCCGGCTCAGTCGCAGTCCAAAATTTACCGCAAACTTCAAAGAATAAGAAGTTATGGGAATTTTTCTGGCTCCCACTGATAAAAGCGCACGTTTCCGCTTCGTTCGCTATCAACCCGAATTGTTGGTTCTTTTGTTCCAGCTGCGTTTCCCATACATGGACGTGCGTTATCGAGCTGTTAAGCCATTGGAAAACAACATCAAGTTGAGCATGCGACTGAAAATGAATCGAATTAAGTCAAAAGAATCGCACAGAGCCGAAGAACAATTACAAAATTCGACTGGAAGCAATGACGCAAACATAAACTTTGCCCAAGTTGCAAATTACCGAAATAGTAAAACTAATGGGTTTTTCGGGTTTTTAGGCCGTCGTTCGGTAGAATTTCTTCCTGACGTTTCGCAA